TGAATCCTATTGTTGCCATTCTATTTTTATTTCTATTTCAAACATAACAAAAGATGTCAATTGTCTACTTAAAATCTTAAATGTTACACATAACATTGAGGATAAAGTTAAATTTTTGTTGCATAATCCACAATAACCTTTAATATCTGCTTCTGCTTCCCTGTCCTGTCCTTTTGTGTCTTCACATCAACAATTCGTCAGCCATTGTTCTGTGTCGTGGTTTTGCATGTGCTTTCCTTGTCCCTGGAATAACCTTATCAACCTTCTTCATTTGCCTCATTCCTGATCTTTTTTTGCAGATTCAACCCAGGTGTTATCTTAATCTTCTGGTATGATTTTTTTTCCTGAATATTTTCTTTCCCAAAGTTCATTGCAGACCGATGTATCAGCCATTATAGCATTATATTATGACTGTTTATGGCCTTTGTTTTTTACTTGGCTGGTATTTTACTTGGTGTCATCCTCACTATGATATGAGAAACTTGAGAGGAAGAAGGTGTATTATCAATTTTTCAATTTCCACTGCTCGCCACCATACCTGGTATATAGCAGATATTTATAAATCTTTGTTGAATGGATGGGTAGAGAGCACAGATCCTGTGTACTGTCTGCATGGTTCACAGGTGGTACATGGGCTGGTATTAAGGTTGTGTTCAGTTTACCAGAGATATTTGAAACTAATCCATAACTGCTGCATCCAATTGAAATTGATTAAAGATTTTTGGTAATATTCTTTGACTGAGGTTGCAATAGTCTTAGTGGAGGCTGACAATTTTATGTCTAAGCATTAAAAGAAGAGTCAGAAAACATTTTAACTCTCTTCATCTGAGAAAATTTATTCTGGACTTGAGGGCTAAGACTCTCCTAGAATTCATCACCAAGAGTACCTTTGCTCCCATCTCACTCATTTTGCGACTAAGAAGCAGTAAATATGGGCTTGTGTTGGAAACAATGCCCAGGATTATCCTTAAGATGAAGAATTCCACATATCTGTTTTAGGAGGCTGAGATAATAACTGGAATGAACAGGGAGCCCTATTTGGAACTACATAGAAACTGAACAGCAAAACCTCCCAGTCTATTTTATTTTTTTGGCTTGGTCAAAAACATTGATATAGGCTCTCTATTAATTAGCATACAGGGTAAGTTGCTAGAGAAAGAGACCTCAAAATATGGCCTTTTCTGTAACAGTTCAGAAATATGTGGTCAGTCCTCCTCGATGGGTATGGGCTCTGCTCCCTGAGGTCACTGAAGGGCCTTGGTTCCTTTTGTCTTATTGTCTTTTATTCCTTAGATCAGGAGTAGGCAAACTCTATTATACTTTAGAATCAGCTGGAGGATATGCTGGGCTCTATTGCCAAGTTTCTGATTCGGGTCTTGGTGGGTCCTGAAAGTTTGCATTTCTAACAACTTTTCAGGAGATGCTGATGCTGCTTGTCTTGGAACCGCACTTTGAGAGTGACTGTCTTAAGCTGAGGACCTTGTTCACTTGTTGAAGCTGGCTTTTCTGTGCTGGACCCATGTTCCTACCCTGGAGGAAGTGGCAAAGAAAAAGAGTAAAAAGTAGAGCACTGCCACTTGTCTGAAGGACAAGTCCCAGAAGTCTCTCATGTTTCATTGGCAAGATCTTTGTAACACAATTGTCTACACATGGGAGGCTGGGTAACTTCTTGCTGACAGATCACATTCCCAGCTAAAACATGGGCATTCTATTGCCAAAAGAAAGAAGGGGATAAATGGCGGTGTTTGCCCAGCCCTGCCCATGTATGGGTATTCATACATCCTCCTCTGCTTGGGGATGTGGAGGCACGATACTCTCCGCAGGTTCAGAGCAGTTTGACCAGAACTCAAAAAATGGTCATCAGAGAAACCAGAGCTCAGCCAGGTTTCTGTGGGGTCCTCAGACCCTTGAACTTGGCTTGTGTACAATGGCAGTAGTAGTGGCCCTGAACATTGATTTTCTCTATCCTCCCTGGCCCTCCCCCTTTCCCTCTCTCTGCCTCAGATCTCCACATCAAGTGGCCTATTTTCTTCACAAGCTGATGCTATAGCAATTGTGTTCTTATTCTGCTGATAGTGGTTGGATGTTTGAGTAGGAATAAAATTCTTCCTGTCCTACTTGTGGGTAGAGGAACTCTTAAACCTATTTCTTCAACTTGAAGCATGACCTTCAAAACATAGCATTGTTTTAACCTGCCAGGTTGCTTAGCACAGAAAGTGAAAGAACTGCATTGTATCTAATAAAAGGACTTCTGATGTGTAATAAAAGTGGTCCCTAATGTGGGTTTCACTGAACTCGGGTAAAAGCTAATATATTTTCTTTCAATAAAATTCTCAGCACCAGAGTTTACATTTTGTCAACAAAAAGTCAGTGAACTTGAAGGTTTTGCTATCTCTGCGTATTATTAAAACAACATTTCCCTTACTTTATTCTTACTTGCTAAGTTTTCATGACTCTGAATTCTATTTCCATTGAAGTTTGTGTAGTATTATTCCCTTTAAAAGAGGTTGTGTGAAAAGGATTAACTTAGTCTGTTTCTCTACTGCTAGCCTACATCTTCATAAGCCATAAAAGCCTAGTGTAACATCACCCTGGTTGAACTCTTTCTGCGGTGGAAAGATAATTTGAAGCTGAATAGCATTTTCCTGCAGAGGATGGTGGCTGAGCTCAGCCTCTAAAGTCCCAGTACCTGCCTTCAAATCCTGGCACTTACTGTGTATACCTGAATGTTTTATTTGAATTTAATAAGTCTTGGTTTTTAACTCAGTAAAATGGGGATACAAATATTACATGCTTCATATGGTGATTGCGTTACAGAAAAATTATTCTGACACTTGTTAAAATGGCAAGGAAGACTTTATTCAAGACTGTTGCATTGGGGGTTGTGATTATCACTATAGGGGAGAGATTGGATACAAGTCTGAATATAGCAAAGGCAGCTGGAGATTTATAGTCAAAAAGTAGACTGAGGGGATGAATGGATTGAAAATTACTAACAAGACTTCAAAGGTAGGGGGATTCTTCTACACTGGACTAACAGAATTCTTCCTAAAGGAAGGTCAAGGACTTAGACATCAAAGGTGGAAGATGAGGCACTTAAGCAGATATTAAAGGAGGAGATTCTTGCTATATTGATTTAAAAGACAGGAACGGGGCATAGTCCAGAAGAGGACTCAGAGGAGCCAGACTAAAATTCATTCAAGGAGACAGTATCAATTGTGAGGCTTGAATTAAATAATTCATGTAACAACACTGAGTCAGTTCTAGCACATAGCAAAGGATGATTCAATGTGAACTAATATTATTATTATTAAAATTAACAATGATTACTTCTTTCTGTCATCTTATCAGTATTATAAAATTGAGAATTTTTTAAATATCAAAATCCAGAGTAAATGTCACTCAGGTACCAAGAGAACTATTTCCTTTAAGGTTTTTTGTCTACTCTGGCTCGCCTGGATGGTGTGGTGGAAGGCAGGCACAATGACCAGGCATTTGAGAGCTATATTCAAAAACTGAGGTGTGAGCTGGATTTTCATCTGCTGAGGGAAAATAGCAAAAATCATGCATTGAAACATAGTGCTAAAGCCAAGCTGGACACATTGCCAATGTTGTCTGAATAGTAGGATGAAGCTGAGGTGAAATAATAGCAACTGATGTAGGGGAATGAATTGGGATTAGAGCACCACTCGACCAGAGAAAGTACAGTGGCAAATTTGGACAAATATCTAAATTTCAGAGCCAGCAGAGCCTGGGATATGGTTTTGACTATTCAGATAGAGCAAATGTATTGTAGGCTAGATTTATTTAAACAGCATATAAAAGGGTGATACTGCTCATATACTTGGGAGCTGAAAACATAAATAAACTTTGGGTCTGGGGAGCTGAAACTCAAAGGACATGATAGATTACTACTGTAAAGCCAGATTGTTTTGTTTTGCTATTGAGTTGTATGAATTCCTTACACATTTTGGGTATTAGCTCCATATAAATATATGGTTTGCAAATATTCCATTCTGGAGATTGCTTTTTCATTTTTATTGTTACCTTTTCTGTACAGAAAGGAGCTTTGAAGTTTGCTGAAGTCCCACTTGTTATGTTGATTTTGCTTTTGGTGTCATATCTAAAAAATCATTGTCAAAAAAAATTTCAAGGAGTTTTTCCTATAGGTTTTCTTCTAGGAGTTTTACAGTTTTAGGTCTTACATTTAAGTCTTTAATCCATTTCAAGTTAAGTTTTGTGATTGGTGTAAATAGGGGTCCAATTACATTCTCTGGCATGTGAGTATTCAGTTTCCCCAGCGCCATTTATTGGATCCATCCTTTCCGATTGTGTTAGCTGTCAGCTTGACATATATGGCTTTTACTGTTGAAATATGTTTCTTCTATATCTACCTTGTTGGGAGCTTTTTTTTAATCATAAAAAGAGGTTAATTTTGTAAAAAAATTTTGTGCATATATTGAAGTGATCATATGATTTTAATCTTCCATTCTTTTAATGTGATGGAACACATTTATTATTGATTTGTGTATGTTGAATCATCCTTAAATACCAGGGATAAAATCTCACTTGGTTATGGTATATAATTCCTTAAATGTGCTGTTGGATTTAGTTTGCTAGTATTTTGTTGAGAATATTTGCATCTATTTCCTCAGGGATAGTAGTTTCCTCGCCTATAGTTTTCTTTCCTTGTAGCATCCTTCTTGGCTTTGGTATCAGTGTTATGCTGACCTTATATAATTATTTTGGGAGTGTTCCCTCCTCTTAAATTTTTTGGAAGAGTTTGAGAAAGATTGGTACTAATTCTTCTTTAAGTGCTTGGTATAATTCACAGTGAAAGCATCTGGTCCTTAACTTTTCTTTGTGAAAATTTTTAGCTTTTTACTTTTATTTTATTGAATATGCTTAACATGTAACGTTGCAAAATTTAAGGTATGCAGTGTATTACTTACATACATTTATATATTGTAGTATAATTGCTGTTGTAGTAATATTTACATAAAAATATGGAATGCTTCATGAATTTGCATGTTATCTTTGTGCGGTGGCCTTGCTAATTTTCTCTGTATTGTTCCACTTTTAGTGTATGTGCTGCCAAAGCAAGCACAGGGAGGTTTTATCTTATTTTTTAAAAGGATTTATTTATTTATTTTTGGAGGGAAGGGAGGGAGAAAGAGAGGGAGAGAAACAGCAGTGTGTGGTTACCTCTCACATGCTCCCTACTGGGGACCTGGCTTGCAACCCAGGTGTGTGCCCTGATTGGGCATTGAACCAGCAATCCCTTGCTTTGTCGGTCAGAACTCAATCCATTGAGCCACACCAGCCAGGGCTCACACAGGGAGGTTTTTGATTACTGATTCAATATATTTACTTATTTTGGCCTGTTTAGATTTTGTATTTCTTAATAAATCAATATTGGTCAGTTGTATGTTTCTAGAAATTTATCCATTTCTTCTATGTTATCCAATTTATTGGCTTATAATTAGGCATAGTGGTCTTTTATGATTCTTAGTATTTATGTGTATTATTTGTAATGTTTTCTCTTTGATTTCTGATTTTACTTGGGTCTTCTCTCTTTTTTCTTAGTCTTAGCTAAAGGTTTGTAAATTTTTTATCTTTTAAAGAAAGCCAGTTCTCAGTTTGTTGACCTTTTGTGGGTTTTTTTGTTTTGTCTATTTCATTTATTTCTGTTCAGATCTTTACTTCCTTCCTTCTGCTAACTTTGTGCTTAGTTTGTTCTTTTTATAGTTCCTTGAGTTGTAAAGTTAGATTGTTTACTTGAGATCTTTCTTTTTTATTAATATAGGTGTTGATAGAGCTTCCTGTTTAGAACTGATTTTGCTGCATCCTGTAAGTGTTGGTATGTTGTGTTTTCATTTTTGTTTGTTTCAAGATTTTTTTAAGTTTTACTTTTTATTTCTTCTTTGCGCCATTGGTTGTTCAGGAGCATGTTCTTTAAATCTTCATATTTTTGAATTTTTTATATTTTTCCCTGTTATTATTTCTAGCTTCCTTTTATTATGATCAGAAAAAAACACTTGATAAGATTTAAATCTCTTTATATTTTCTAAAACTTGTTTTGTGACTTAACATGTAGTGTGTGCCATGTGCACCTGAGAAGAATATGCATTCTGTTACTGTTGATTGGAATGTTCTGTATACGTTTGTTAGGTCTATCTGCTGTTAAGTAAAATTCAAGTCCAACTTTTCCTTATTGATTTTTCTGGCTCGGTAATTTATCTACAGGGGTGGGCAAAAGGAGGTTTATAGTTGCGAGTATATAAAATACAGAATTTATTCTTGTATTATTATTTATTTATTATTATTTTATTTGTATTATTTCCATACAAACAACTGTAAACCTACTTTTGCCCAAATCTGCATTGTTGAAAGTGAGATATTGAAGTCACTACTATTGTTATGTGTATTGCTGTTTCTCTCTTAGATTTGTTAATATTTGTTTATTATATTTAGGTGTGCAAATGTTGAGTGCATGTATATTTATGACTGTTATATCCTCTTGATGAATCGAAACTTTTATTATTATATAATGACTTTGTCTCCTATTATAGTTTTGGCCTGAATGTCTGTTTTGTTGAAGTGATTATAGCAACCTCCACTTTCTTTTGGTTGCTGTTGGCATGGAATATCTTTTTCATTCCTCATTTTGAGCTTATGAATGTTCATCAAGCTGAGTGAGTCACTTTATTGGCAGCATCTAGTTGTTTTTGTTTTTTGTTTTTATCCTTTCAATGGGCACAGGTATTTTGTCCTTTTTAATGTGACAATTTAATTTTTTACTTTTACAGCAATTTAAAAAAATAAAGTAGCTATTGATAGGTAAGGACTTACTAATACTGTCTTCTTGTTTCCTGGCCATCTTGTTGTTCCCTTATTCCTTTTACCCACTCTCTCTGTCTTTCTTTGTGAATTGATGATTGTCTGTAGTGGCATGCTTTAATTTCCTTCTCTTTTGTGAATCTACTTTTTGTGTATCTACTGTATATTTTTGCTTTGTGGTTACCATGAGACTTACATAAAACATCTTATACATGCAGCAGTCTATTCTAAGCTGATAACAACTTAACCTAGAATACATACAACTCTACCTTTCACTCCCCCATTTATGTTTTAATGTCACAATTTACATCTTTTTTATATTGTGGTATTATTAATAATTTATTGTAGCTATAGTTGTTTTTTTTAATACCTTTGTCCTTTAAACTTCGTACTAGCAATAAGTGATTAACACACTACCATGTTACACTATTTGGGTATTTTCAATGCAACCATATACTTTCCTTTATAAGTGTGTTTTACATTTTCATATGTGCTCATGTTACTGACTAACATCATTTTATTTCTGCTTGAAGAACTTCTGGAATTTCTTGTAAGGCAGGTCTAGTGGTAATTAACTCCTTCAGTTTTTGTTTTCCTGAAAAAGTCTTTATCGCTCCTTTATTTCTTAAGGACAACTTTGTCACATAAGTTATTAGTTGGCAGGTTTTTTCTTCTTCCAGCACTGTTAATATATCTTCCCACCCTCCTCTGACCTTCAAGTTTTCTGTCTTATGGCATTTTTTTTCCCCCTTGCTGCTTTAAAAATTTTGTCTTTGATTTTTGAGTTTTATTATAATTTGTCTCAAAGAGGCTCTATTTAAATTGATTTTCATGATTTATGAGCTTAATGAACTCAGATGTTTGGATTTCTCCCCAAATTTGGGAAGTTCTACATCATTATTTCTTTAAATAAATTTCCTGCCCCTTTTCTTCTCCCTTCTCCTTCTGGGATTCCAGTAATTAATATGTTATTTCTATTAACGGTATCATGTTGTTCATGTAGGCTTTCTTCATGCTTTTTAAATTTCATTTAAATTTTATTTACTCTGACTTGATAATTTCAAGTGACCTGTCTTCTACTTCATAGATTCTTCTGCTTAGATGAAGTCTGGAATTGATACTTCCTATTGTATTTTTTTCGCACTTATTGTATTTTTCAGCTTGGATTTTTCTGTTTGATTTTTTAAATGACTTTTATCTCTCTGTTCAATTTCTAATTTTGTTTATGAATTGTTTTCCTAATTTAGTTCAATTATTTTCTTTTAGCTCATTGAGCTCCTTAAAACAGCTATTTTGAATTCTTTACCTGGCAAACCACAGATCCCCACTTATTTGGGGTTGGTTCCCAAAACATAATGAGAGTCTTTTGGTGGTATCATGTTTCCCTGATTTCTCATGTTTCTTGAAGTCTCATGTTGCTATCTTTGCATTTGAAGAAGTCATCTTGACTAGTCTTTACTGACCTCTTCAATGTATCTATCTAAAATCAGATACTTTTTTTTGCTCCAGGTGCTCTGCTTGACTTTTGCGCTTCTGTCAATATCAGTTATGTTTATGAGGAAGATTACAGAAAACTATTTTTCCATTTTGATGTTGTCACTCTCTTAGTTACTTTGTTTTGCTTTCATATTTGTTGTGGCTCTAGCTCTTGTTATAAGAAATCTGGGAAATATGACTTCCAGAAATGCCAGTACTTCTTCAATTACAAGAATTCACTAACTATCAGAAAGTAAATTTTAATAATAAGCAGAGAGCATTATCTTATTCCATTAATGACAACTGTCCATTTCTTCCCTTTCATACGTGTTTGGGTGTTTTCCAACCTGTACCTCTTCTTTGAGTGCTGCCTTCAGATGGCATGGGTCTCTCTGTTGCTGTTGCTATCAGCTTATGTGTCCACTTTTTGTACTCACTGCTGTCCTCTGATGTGGGCCACCTGTGTTTCAATCTGTCTTCACCTAGATTCTCTGGCTTTCTTCATCCAATTAGAATTATTTTTAACATTTTATTAAGGCATAGTATATGTCATAAGTGCACACAGGTCACTGAATTTTCACAAACTCAACATAAACATTCAACTACTCCCTAGCTCAAAAAACAGATTACTAGCTCTGCTGAAGATTTTTCATGTTAGTTACTAATTATGCCACTTACTGTTTCCTGTACCAAAGGTAACTACATCCTGACCTCAAACAGTATATTTTAGTTTTGTTGTGTTTTTGTATTTTTTGTAAGTGTAATTATACAGTGTGTATTATATTGGCTTCCTTCTTGTGCTTATCATGTTTGTGAGATTCATCTCTATTGTTGAAATGGAGTGATTATTCCCATTGCTCTATGTACTCCTTTGTATGATGATATTATTATATTCTTTTAGATAACATAGGAACATTTAGTATTTCCATATTATCACTATTTTGAATAATGTTGCTAATTAAAAATATATTTTAAAGCTTTTGATATTAAAGTTGGAAAGAATATTTGAAAAGTGACATTTACTATTATACGTTATTTGATTGGTAACCTCAGGAAACAAGATTATTCACTGCTCCACCTTTAATGTGTAATCAGCCTACTGTTAGCATTTCAATACTAAGGAAAATAATAATTTAAATATGCCCTGTACAAGATTTCCTTTGGATGTTCCCCATTCACTATTACTGAGAGTGTCAGCAGTGTTCATCAGGAGTTGGTTCTTGACAGGAAATCAATAATTTGTTATAAGATCTTATCAAGAACAGGGAGTGGGCATTGGTTTCAGAAGGGAGTCACAGTTTTAACTGGTTGCATGGACATCTTGACAAGTTTATCTGAAATCACAAGAGAAAAGGGGGAGCAAGGAGGATATTTGAACACTCAAAATCCATTTTCTAAATGCATGTAAAAATTCACTATTTAATCAATCTTCATTCCAAGCTCTTCCTGTGGGCTCTGCCAAGAGTACTGTAATAAATTACACATAAAAGTTGCATACACTATGCTTTTTATGAAGAGAATTCTACATTATTTAGCCATGTTTGCAGTCATGCATGTCTGCCTGTGAAACACTGGTTATCAATGATTAATGGACAACATGCTTCAACAATGCTCTTCTACTTGAGCTAATGAACTAAATAGTTTATTTCATGCTCCATTTCCTCAAATAAATGACTATAATACATAATGTGATAATTCTTGATCTCTTTGCAGTGCATTTTCTTATCTGTAATGAACACATACATTTTAAAAATCAAACTTAGTCATTGCATTGTGATTTTATTTTTTGGG